GAACCATTTTGAGGTCTCCAAAAATGCAGCAGGGAGCGACTTCTTTGCAGGTCCCTCATCCTGCCTCAGCACCTCGGTGGCATTCCTTACTGTTTCCAGGCATTTCAGGCCCATTTCCAGACGCCAGGAGCTCTGCAATGGTTGTGATTTGATGGTGTTGGAGCCCAGCTGTAAAACGCTCTTCTTGGCTCCAGGAAAAGAGCCTGGCTGGGAGGGGAGGTCCTGCTGCAGCAGTGAAACTCAGGAGGAGCTGCACTTGTCTGGGGAGCAGGGAAACCCCAAGGGAATGATGAGAAGGGGCTGCTTTGGGGTTGTGGACTCGGCCATCGCTGCAGACCGCAGAAAGCCATGCCACACCAGCAGTGTCTCTGGCTCTGGTGGAAAAGCCCCATTCGTTTCCATCCACGCCACACATCCAATCCCCAGGAGTGTTAGCTTTGTTCAGGAGATGCTCCAGTGTAATGCACTGCTTTTGATGTCCTCAAAGTAAGGGGCCAAGAACAACACCTGTACAACAAGAAGTCAAACAGACGCAGAGGAGATGCAGTGGGACCCCATGGCCGCCAGTCCTCATCCTCAGCATCACCACATGTGCTCCTAACGGCCCTGGCGTGAGGAAGAGGCATTCCTTTATTCCTCACAATATGCAACAGGCGATATCAAGTGCACGCTCACGGCGTTCAGGTTCTGCATTTAAGACGTACGCGTGCACCACACCAGCATACACATTCATTCCTTTCCAAGAATTCAATACATTCTGATGCTCCTCAGGGCAAGTGTGGTTGATTTTAGGGTGGTCGTACGCCCACTTACTTTATCCCCACTTTTCCATTACTTGCTCCATCACGGTGACTTCTGGCCGACTTGGAGCTGTTTCTCCCCCATTTGGCAAACCTCCATTGCTTGTGAGGCCACACTGAGCAACTTCCAAAGCAACGGATGTGAAATCCGAGCACGAAGCAGCTGGTGGATGCAGAGATAAGGACAGTTCGTGTGAGCTCAGTGCTTCATGTGAAGCAAGATTACGACGAAACAAGGCTGCTTGTGCACCGAAGTGGAAATGGAAAGTTTCAGAGCTGGCACTCATTGATTCCTTTTGCTGAACGAACACATCGGCCCTTGCCCCAACACACCGACCCTGCCGCTAAACAAACTAGCTCGGACCAACACCGCACAACCACTCCGCGCCTCTCCTCATTACTTCCTCCAGCTGCCCGCACGCCCCGCGTTCGTTGCGCCGATGAGGAACCGCCCCGCGCAGCAGCGGCACGGCGCCACGGCAGCACGTGGGAGAGCACCGATCTCGCGAGAGTCTCGCCGCGATCATCTCGCGAGAGTGCGGCCGTGCCCGTGCCCTTGCGGCGGCATGGCGGGGTACTGGGACGGCCCCGAGGGCGAGCAGTGCCCGCAGCGCACCTGGCTGACCGCGCGGGTGGGCGCCGCCGCCGGTGAGGGCCGCTGAGAGCCGCTCAGGGCCGGGGGGCGGCGGGCGGCGGTCCCGCACGGCCCCGCTCCCGCTGACGGCCCCGCTCTGCTTGCAGGCCTGCTCGGCTCGGCGTACCGCATCATCCTGCTCCGGCCCGGCTCCGCGCTCGCCGCGCTGCAGATGGCGGCGTCGGACACCGTGACCATGGGTAAGCCGGCTGCGGCGACCCCAGCGCGTGCCCCAGAGGCCGCCTGCCCCCGCGCGGCTCCGCGTCCCTCCGCCCTCCGCGGTCCCGTTTCCGTTCCCCCGGTGTCCCCTCCCGTAATTCACAGCCCTTCCCCTCCTCCCGGCCCTGCCGCAGCCCCGTCCCCTTTGGACGCCTTTCCGTGCGCCTCCGGAGCGCTGCGTAGCGGCCGTGGCAGCGTTCGAAGCTGCTGCTTTGAGTGCCTGAGGCCCCAACACGGCGGAAGGAGCGTCCTGTGCTGAGTGCTGCAGAACCGGGATGAGGACGTGGGCTGTGTTCTGTGTTGAAGGATGCTTTTTGTGCAGCCTGGAGGAGAAGGTGCGTGTGTTCAGTGCTCACATGTACTGCTGTGCTTACATACACATCTATGTGTCCTGCTGCTGGACAAAAGCATAATGGAAGCAAACGTACCTTCTCTACTTCATGTCAGTTAGGCATCACACATAAATGATGTTTTGAAGAGCAAAGACTGCTTGTGACAGCAAAAGGAAAATCAGTGTTTGTCCTCATCATTCATTGGCTGCTTCTTGCCAAGAAGAAGCAATTTAGTTATTGTAGCCTGCAAGGGCGAGGATGCTGGAGGATGAAGCAGCAACCCAAGGGCTGTTCAGCTGCACGGTGGAGCCCTCAGCCCTTGGCACACACAGTTTTCATCAAACTCACCTCAGTTTTCAGTCTCATTCAACGCCTGTGCCACCTCTGTCTCTCCCCCAGCAGCTCTGCACTGAACCAGAAGCCAGTCTGCACGTGACCCAGGTCTGCAGGTGCCTGCACAGCTCTTCAGTAGTGATTTGAGCTCATTGCAATGGCCCAGATCACATCACCAATTATTGCTTGGATAAACCTTGTAATCCCAAACCAGCACACTGAGTCCTCCTGCTGTGTCACATCTGAGGATAACTGCATGCTGGGGAGGCAGAGCCCGAGCAGCTGAATCCCTGTGGGGTTTTTCCTTTCTCCAGAGCAGAGAAAGCAGGGAGCTGAGGGGCTGTGGTCCAAGGGCTCTGTTTCCTGAGTGCTCTTTTTAGCTCAGCATAATCACATTTTGTGCTGGAAAACTGCAGAGCTTTGTAACACGGGCTTGTAGTTTATCTGTTATTGTATAGACTTCATTGTGGACGTTTCTGGGTTGGTGTTGTTCCCAGGAAAGGTGAATTGGGCTCTGGAGATGGCGCCTGTTTCACATCTCTCATCAGAAATCCACGTGGTAAACCAGAGCGGCTTCGTTTTCTTCTTTCTTCCCAGAGGATCTGCTTGTGGCTCCGTGCCTCCCAGCAGCGCGCTTTGCCTGAAGAGAATCACGGAATGGTGGAATGGCCTGGGTTTGTGCAGGGCCAACCACAGCCCAGGCTGCCCAGAGCTTTTGCTGAGTTTCTCTGCCTTCTGTTCACAGCCACGCTGGGCGCCGTGTTCGGGCTGACCACCTGCCTCAGTGCCCAGGTGCGGGAGGAGCCCGAGAGCCCCTTGGACTATTTCATTGGGGGCTGCACCACGGGAGCTCTCGTAGGAGCCAGAGGTAAATGTGGGTGGTGCCTGGAGTGGGTGACAGAACGAGCCTGCTCTGTTGTCCTGAACCTTTCTTAGGGAAAGCAGTAAAAGCACGGCGGTGTCATGCTGATCTGGTGTCTTAATCTCTTCATCTCTGTGTGTGAATTCCATTTCGTTTTGCTGACGCTCTGTTGTAGATAAATAGTGCTCAATAAATAGTGCTGCAGGGAGAGACCGGGGCTGACATGGAGGAGATTTACAGCAGAGGACAGAGCTGAGCCAGCACTGCCCATTATAACTGCTGATAATTTGAAATGGCGGGATATTACAAATGTTGTTGTGGCAATCTGTGTCATCTGGGCAACAAATGTGATTTATTATACGTGGAAAATGCGATCTGTCACATTCAATGCTGTGAGTTCCTCTTGCAATCTGAGGGCCAGGCCGTGTCTTTCAGCTGTTGCTCCCATGACTTTTCCAGGCTAGATTAAGTCCTGCAGACACTGATACAGCTCTGCTTTCTGCAGGCATTTGCAGACTCAGTGGTAAAGGATGAGATTTTATTTTTAAGTTCCAATTGTGGTAAAATCAGGTTTCTCTTTCCCTGGTTGCTGAGCTGAGAGTTTGAAGCGGTGATTGTTGTGGTCGCTGAGGTAAGCAATTAGGGTTTCCCTGTATAACGAATCAGGGCAATGGGTTATGGATGGTTATGTCCCAAACTGTGGGCAGAAAGCATGAGAGAGGACTTGGAAACAAATACACTTCTGATTTCTGTAGACAACCAATGGTACTTATGGTCAGGGAACACGTGGAGTCCGTCCTGATCTGCTCTGTTTCTAAGAGATCCTTCTTACTGCTTGTTTTTTTCCAGCTCACAGTTACATGACCGGAACCGTCGCTTGTTTGGGCTTTGGAGCTACTGCTGCATTAATGAAGATAGGAAATAAGGAAGGCTGGAGGCTAACGGGGCCTCCCAAGCTGTAAATGTCCCATTCCACCCTGCAAGCTGGATCTTGAGTGCTGTGTGTAATGAAACGCTGTGTAATAAAAAATACTGTCAAATGGGCTGTCAGCAGTGTGCACATCATCCCCGTGTTGATAGGATTGAGCTGGGATGCAGACAGGAGGCGTGAGGGGAGGCTGAGTGCGCTGTGGTTCGTCCTGGAGAAGGGAATCCTGAAGAGGCGATGGGATGTTTTCACAAGTTCGTGGTTAAGAAGAATTGTTCAGGTGCAGGGTGAAAGCATGGAAGGTGATAAGCATGGGTTACAGAATGGGAAATTGTGCCTAGGTATAAAGAGAAAGAAGAAGATCTTGTAGTTGGGATTGATCACTGGAAAATGGAGCCAGAGCAGCTAGGAAACGGTAGCTTTTGGGGACACAAAATTCAGCCAGATGTGGAAATACGAGGATAAAGGGAAGTTTGGGATGGGGATATGAGTTCTTGGAGATGGGGAAATAGGGTTGTGGGGCTGGGAGGCAGCGGGGATGGGACGGCGTGTGGTTCTGGCACTGCCTGCACCCTCCGGCCGGAGGGAAAAATCCCAGTGCTGTCCTCCCACCGCTGTCCTCAGGGAACCCTGCTGTCTGACCGCCCCGTCCGGGGCACCGGGGTCACAGCCCTCCCTGCAGGCCTGTCCCAGCTCCAGTGCCGCAGCCACGTGTCCAGGCTGGGCTATAATTACCCACACACATTCCTGGGGGGTCACAGGAGCGTCCCAGAGCTGCAGCGGGCAATAAGGTGGGATGAGCGCGCGGCCGCAGCGCAGTGCGCAGCACAGCAGTGCAGGACGTGGCACACGAAGGACACAGCGCTGCGCAGTGTGTGGGGCTGCAAGCGCTGATGGGGACGGGGATGGGGCACGGAGCGGGGCGAGCACGGCAGGGTCAGCGCGGGGCAGAGCGACCGCCATGCGTGGTGCGTGGCACCAATGGGATGGAATGATGGCTCTGTGGGGAGCTGGGCTGGCGGTGGTGGTGGCGGAGCAGAGGTGGTTGTGAGCGTGGGGCAGCAGATGGGGGGAAGGGATGATGTGGGACGCTGGGCTGTGGGGCTGTGGCTTTCAGGCGGATTGGCTGTGTGCCTATGATTTCATCCCGTGCTGTGCAGCAAAGGGTTGAGCACTGAGGCAGGTGGGGGGCATCCAGCTCAGCTAAGGAACGGGAAAAGCCCGCAGGTCTCATCTGTCTTGGCAAGAAGCATCAAATTCAGCTGTGGGGCAGCAGTAGAGTGTGGTGGTCTCGAGCCCTTGGCAATGGATCTGGTGTCTTTTGCCATCGGGCAGTGCCAACAGCAGCACCCAGGACAACCTGGCTGTGGGGATGGCAACCTGACCTCACTCCACGTGTTCCCACAGGCAAGATGTGGGTCACAGAGGGGCCGGCCCCAGCCCAGTGGCACCTGCGGGACGGGGCCCATGCCAGACACTTCCTGACCACAGCCAATGACCTCCGCACCGCGGGACAGCTGGTGGATGTGGCCGTGGGCCCCGAGAGTGACATGGCTCACGCTGTGGTCTTAGCCTCCGTCAGCTCCTTCTTCCTGTGTTTCCTGGAGGACAGGACCCGAGAGATGCGCCGGGGACCCCCATCTCATGTCCCCCTGCCACCAGGGGCCACACTGTGGGGCTGGCGGGCCCTCCTGGCCTTTGCCTATGAGGGAACTGTGCCCCACGGCAGGGAGAGGGAGGTGGAAGAGTCCGCTCGTGTCCTGGGGGCTCCACGGGTGGTGGCTGCCTGTGCATCCCGGACAGAGAGCGACCACCAGGAAGGGGGTCCTGAGGCCCTGGAGGAGCAGTGGGAGACATTAAGAGCCATGGAGCAGCTGCACGCCAGCGGCCTGGGCTGTGACCTCCAGCTGCAGGCAGGGGATGAGGTCATCCCAGGTGAGCTGGGTGGGGGTCCCTTGGAGGAGTGGGAATGGTGTATGTTGGGTCCCCTGGGGGGGAAAAGGGGGGACAGAAGGGCAGTGCTTCCAAGCAGGGATGGAGCAGGAGGTGTCGTGCTGGTCCTGTGGGGATGGAGGGGGGGATCAGTGGGGGACGACTGAGTGTCTGAAGGTCACTTAGGCACCGGGTCCTCCTGCAGCCCCCATCCTTTTTCCTCCTTTCTCCTAGTTCAGCGGCTGGCCCTGAGCTGCTCCTGTGACTTCTTCCGGGCTCTCTTCACTTGCCCCATGCGGGAGTCGACCCACGACCCCACAGCCCCGCTGAGCACAGGACTGACCCCCGCAGAGCTGCACCTCCTCCTCTCCTTCGCCTACACGGGGGCTGTGGTCGGTCCGTGGTCCACAGTCCTGGAGGCAGCCGAGACCTCCCTGCGCTACCAGGCCTGGGGGCTCCTCACCCTCTGCCTGGATGTTTTCACCCACGGCCTGACCCCAGAAATCGGCCTGGACGTGCTGGCCTTTGCGGTGGCTTACGGGCTGGTCCAGGTGAGCCGCACAGCGGAGGACTACATCTTGGCCACCTTCCCTACCATAGTGGCCACTCCAACCTTCCTGGATCTTCCTGCCCACCTTCTGATCCGCCTCCTCCGCTCTGACGGTCTTAATGTCCTCCACGAACTGGAGGCTTTGGAAGCGGCATCCCGGTGGCTGAAGGCCAATGGAGATGGCAAAGAGGACCTAACCAAGGAAGTTCTGTCGTCCGTTCGCTTTGCCCTCATGTCCGGCCAGGAGCTGAAGAAGATCCCATCGGTGACGGCGGGGGTGGTGGACCCAGGGCTCCTCCGTCAGCTGGTGGTTGAGAGTTTGTCCCCCATGGTCCAGCTGCCGTGCCGGGTGCGCTCCTTGCAAGAGGTGCTGGTGGTTTGTGGAGGAGACAAACTGACGCCGAACATGGCTGCCCGGAAGCCCAGCAGGAACCTCTGGTTTGCCCACCGCTACCTCAACGCTGTGGGGCTGGTGAAGCACGTGGAGTGGAGGGCATTGGGGAACTTTCCTGACGGTCCGCGCTTTCGCCATGCTGTGGCTGTGGTAGGAAACACCCTCTATGTCCTGGGTGGAAAGCGCTACTACGGGATCCGTGACACCCTGGCCAGTGTCTACAGGTGAGGGCTGTGTGGGGCTGGAGGAAGTACTGGGGGAGGGAGAGCTGCTGCAAGGACCTGGGGAGCTGCTGCATGTGGCTCGAGATGCTCCGGTTGTCTGCTGGCCTGGGGTGTCTGTGCCCCTGTGGAGCCTCCTGCCCTGGAATGCTGTGGGGTTTGTAGGGGATTGGGCAGGGAAGGCCCCTCCTGGGGCTGCCATTATGGCATTGGTGTTGCCAAGAAAAAGATATTCCTGTGCAAGGGGACCGTGGAGCCCCAGGGCATTGAACGATTGGCTGCCTGTGGGTGGGTTGTTGCTCTCAGCAGTGCTGACATCAGCTCGTGCCACTGTGGATAGCAGCTAGCCTCTTGCTCCCTTTCCCCCTCAACCCCAGGTATCAGCCCATGGACAATTCCTGGGAGCGCCTGGCCAGCATGACCTGCGGGCGAAGCTACTTTGCTGCTGTGGCGCTTGATGGCTCCATCTATGCCCTGGGGGGCAGCTCGGGTGATCTCTACTGCACGGACACTGTGGAGTGTTATAACGTGGCCTCTGACACCTGGAGGTGAGACCTCTCCACTTGGATACCTGCTTTCTCCTGCTGTAGCAGCTCCTGGCATTGGTCATGGTCCCCATGAGTGCTCTTTGTGCTGCTGACACTCCAGAACAGGAGTCGCAGTTGGGCTGTGATGCCTGTTGGGTAGTGAATGAGTTGGCTGGTTGTATTCGTGAGGGTCTGTTGGCTCTGCTAATGAGAGGAATCATTTAAATGTCTTCCAGCTGTTTCTTGGGTGATCCATTGGGTGTTGGCCAGTGCTCCCACTGGGGGGTTCTACTGGGGCTCACTGGTTGTAGCCTGCTGAGTGCCCAGTGGATCCATGGCTGGCAGTGCCAGCAGGGGTCTGCTGGGCAGGCAGTTGCCATGAGGTAGCCCTGCTTTACCTGCTCTTCACCCCTCTCTCTTTTCTCCCCCAGGAGGTGCCAGTCCCTGCCAATGGCTCTGTGTGGACACGCAGCGTGTGCCCTGGATGGTGCCCTCTATGTGTCAGGGGGGTGTGATGAGGCGTACCAATGCCAGACAGCCCTTCTGCGCTACATCCCAGGTGCACCAGCCACACTCCTGGCCCCTATGAATGGCCAGAGAGCTGGCCACATCATGGAGGAGGCGGGTGGGCAGCTCTATGTGGCTGGGGGGCTGTGCCAGCGGGACGGGCAGACTGGCTACAGGGACCAGCTGGCCTTTGAAGTCTACAGCCCCAAGCTAGATATCTGGGTCCTCCTCAGCCCTTTGCCCCACGCCCATGTAGTGGGGGGTGCAGCTGTGCTGGGGGGGGGAGCTGCTTGTGCTTGGAGGGTACAGCCATGAAACGTACCGGGACACCCACCTGATCCATGCCTACCAGCCGGGCGCCCGGCGCTGGATCACCCGGGGCACTTTGCCCCATGCCTATACTGACCTCCAGGTGTGTGTCCTCACTGTCCCCCCAGCACTACGTGGCCCCAGTTGCCTCGAGGACTCCTCAAGATCACCTGATGCCCTCTGTAACACTTAGGGGTCATTCAAAGCTCTGTACTCCATACTGGGCATCCAGTGGGCACCTCTGTGGGGCAAAATTTTCCCCAGGTTCCTCCCCAGGGAGTCCCCTGCGCTGTGGGGCACAAAGACCACACTGCACACCACCACATGTACCTTCAGGAATGCTCACGATGTCGCCCCACCACCCCAAGCCCTTCAGTGGGAGCTGAGGATCTCCCAGTTCCCACACATCCTTGTACTGAATAAAAGAGGCTCCTGAAATGCCTGTCTGGGTCTCTTTTGTTCTGCTGGGGAACCCAGACGTTCGGATGGTTCTCTCACAAGTGACAGGAGAGCAAAGACTGGAGAGCTGAGTGTCCTGGGTGGGTGAATGGTGGGGACCAGGGCTGCCTGCATTCTGGAGTCCACGGGGGGGGACATAAGGGCTCTGGGTGCCTATGTTCATTGGGCCTGGAT